GCGAGCTAAGAAAATGTTTATCTGCCTGAGCTTGGCCTTCATAATTCCATTCCATCACAGTTTGCCTACTATTACTACAAATAAAACTATAGTATTCACCTGCAGCCAGAATGAAACCTATTTTAGATCAAAACAAAAATAGTTGTTTACATGGTCAAAAAAAATATCACACAAACATGGAATTCTTAAATACTTTTGTTGTAGATGGTTCAGAAAAGAGGATTCTCATAGCTTGTTCTGGCACAAGTTACTTTGTTTGGTTCTGAGTTAGTGTTTGTGTGAAACCAATCGTTATGATTTATAAACAATGGTTTATGGGTCAGCGATATTATACAATCCTAGTCAGTCTTGATTGCTGCATTTTTACTCTAATAGGGGAGGTCTATCAGGAAAAAGAAATATTCTCTCCATTTAGAACCAGGTTGGTTGGTTACCGAGTACTTTGTATTGTGTGACATACATAGCATGAAAAAATTAATGACCAACTCAGACAGGCAAGTTCTGTGGGTAAATTTCCAAAAAACATCTGGAAACAGTCCAGTGCTGTGGAGCAAAGCAACAAAATATCAAGTTAAAAAAATCACATTATCATGTGTTAAAAATACAATATTATAAAACAAGAAAGAATAAATGTTTTAAAAACAAAAAGCTCAAGAAGAAAAACAGGTGAATAGCAAGATTATGACAAGATATTCAACAAACTTTTGGTTAAAATCTGTTTAAGCTACTATCAATTCATGTATCATGTTTGTGGCATGAAAATGCAACATAGGCAGTGAAAGATCGGGTGTACTAGGATTTTGATTAGGTTAGCATTTATTGTATTGTCATGAATTGCTGATATTAAAAGTGACAATGATCAATATTGTATATCAGTTGACTAGTTACAAACTGCCAATCTAGTTTCCATCCTCTGCTATCAAATATATTTACTAATTGTAAGTATAAGTTTTATACAAGTTTTATACATGTATAAAAACACATGTATATTTGAAATGCAGGCACTGTACAATAAAAGGTTTTTTGGGCAGTGCCATAATTTATGTGCTTATTAAGTCATAAGACTACAGTAGTTTAGGACTAGAGTGGGGCTATATGTGGAGAACTTAAGTGTCTTCTGTTTCTTGTTATTTTGAAGTGTACACTTCAGTCTCCAAAACATGTTTGTCAATGTATAGGGCTGGATTCAAGTTATACATTTTTTTGTCCTTGTGAATATGTCATACTTTTTAAGTTATATGCAGGGGTAGCAGTGGCAGTTAGTGTTTGTTGAAGCCCAATTTTGACATTCATTCTGGCCTTGGAAAGAAATTGTGTAAGAAACTAACTATGCAAGGGAGAAAAATTAAACACCAAATATATCACTGGAGAACAGTAAGAACATCTGAATTTGGAGAGTAACTTTTGAAAAATGCTATACTCACTGGCAGAACTACAAGTTTTGCTCCTTGTCCTGCTGCAGTTCTCACAAGTCTACAGGCTCTGTTCAAGTTGTCTGTTTTGACAGTAGATACATGAAGCTGGATGAGTGCTAAACGAAAATCTAAAGGTAAAAAAAGCAAAGGTTCAGCTCTGGAGAAAGACAATCTGCACTGTTTCAAAGGCCTCTCACACCACTGTCAAGAACTATTTATAACTGAAAGCCTTAAAAGGTTGGGGGAACCAAAGACCATGTTGTGTGGGGATTGGGATCTCAATGTAACTACAGGGCACCAGGGTGGAAAAACCAATATAAAGAAAAAGGAGCGGTTAAACAGCACCTTCTCTTGCTTAAAATTCTGCATCGACTTAACCCTAACAACTAAAGCTTTGCTCTCTCATCCTTATATAAGTATAAGTTGTATTATAGTTGAACACAAGTTGAACATTAGCTAACTCTATGATGCAGTTGTTAAAAACAAATAATTTATGATGTATTATCAGAAGCATAAGGCCCAAATCATGGGAAGTAATTGTTCTACTCTATTCTGCCTTAGGCCCCACTTGGACCAAGTCTAGTTCTGGGCACCAGAGTCTAAAAAGAACATCACAGACTGGAATGGGTTAAGAGAAGGGCTACCAAAATGATAAGGGAACTGAAAACTAAGCTCTATAAGGAATGGTTAAAGGAACTGGGTATGTTTAGCTTCTAAAAGAGAAAATTGAAAGAAATAAGATAGCAGTCTTAAGACATCTAGAGAGCTGTCACATTGTCAGCCCTTTGAGATAGGCAAGGTCAGGGAACAAGAGTTGTTAGGAATGTTGGAATGTACTTTAATGTGGTTAAATATTGTAACAATCTTAAAAGCCAGTCAAAGTCTCTCTCTACTTCAGCTTATACCAGCACAATCAAGGCAGGGTTGTTCCGAGTTTCTTCTTCACTTTCTAATTTTCCAGGACTCATATTTTTTCTATAATGGCTCACTTTCCCTGAGTCAAGCCCACATTCCATCACACACACCAAGGAGAGAATGGACTTATTCTCTGTTGTCCCAGAGTGCAGGACCAGAACCAATGGGTTGAAACTACAGGGCAGTAGATTCAGTTTACTAGGTGGAACTGAGATGTCAATCATTGGAATAGCACAAACAGTAAGGAAGAGATGCTGACAAAAACGGCCAAAACATTTTTTAAGTTCTGAGAAGAGAGAGAATATTTGGAAGTGGCTCAGGTAGACACTCCCAACTCATAATTTATCTTCTTCCAGTTATCCAGCACTTCACCTGTTCTACGATATTTTTTACAGGTTTGGCTAGACCATTAGCATGTTAGTGAGAATGCATTGTGTGTGGGCTAATTGGGCCTTTAAAAATGGTGATATTACTATTTTAGGGCTCACACTATAGGGAACCATGCTATCACTTTTCAGAAATCTTGACAAAAGGATTGCTCATCCTCAGTTTATCTGATGACATGAACAGAAGTAGCCAAAAAGAATGAAGCATCCTGGTATCATTCCATGAGACCATGATCATAAAGTGCTATTTCTTGGGCACACAATGCTGTATTTTATAATTCTACAGTTATATCTCTACTCTCCCAATTTTCAGGAAGGAATTGAAGACCTGGCTCTGCCAACTTGCGTGGGGTGAGAAGAGATACAACCAACCCTGAGAGTGGCTGGTGCCTTGAAGATGCTCCCTGAGTTTATTAACACGTAATTAACATCAGTCTCTTGGAAATATTATATAGGAATCTTGTTGTTGCAGTCTATTTTAATTAATTAATTTTTATTTTATTTTAATTAATATTTATTCTGTTTTTACTGTAAACCACCCAGAGTCCCACTGTAGTGAGATGGGTGGTGACAAATTTGAAATATAAATAAATAAATTAAGGTTTCCCAACATTTCAGAGATTAAAAAAAGTCCCCAAACAGTTTCTGAATTCACTGGAGCATGACTGACAAAACCTGCAGAGTAGCAGAACTGCCTACCACCAATGTTTTCCAGCACTTCAGCCCTATGTTACAAATACCATTGTGTGGACTTACCCCTTAGTACTTTATAACTGGAGTCCAAATGAGCAAAATGGATAACACATTTAACATTGCAACCTATTGCAAAATAACTGAGAGGTACAATGCAAGACATGCCAAATATTAAACTGCCCCAACTGCTGATGAGTCAATTGGTTTAAAGTACTTCTTTACTGATATGGTTAGGAGTAGCACACACGGACCACATACATGCACAAGCACAACTCCCTCAGGGCTTTATTCCATGCATCTGAAGTGGAGACTGATTCGTGACAGTTACTGTGACAATGAATCGATTACTGTGTTTGCTAAGGGTACTTTTGCTGCAAAAAAACTAACGCGACTACCCGCTGGAAGTTATCCAAAATTACGGAAAACGAACCAACCAAAAATAGCGTACTTAAGGTAATTATGGGAAAGACATTTTCCCTAAACAGGAGCAGTACCTATCTTTTAAACTCCCCAGCCAAAAGACAACAAGCAGTACCACTTGTACGACTACAACTCGACGCCAACCTGCGTAAAATTGCACTCTCAAGTCTCTAGTTAAGTTTGTTAACCCATCATCTCTCTGCCAGCCATCTCCCTCTAGCCGAAGGCAAGCTTAACAGGGCGAGGGACAAAGTCACCCTTCACCTTTACTCCCCTTTTCGTTAAGTGCCCAGCGGAAATTGAACTGCCTGAGCACACAGTTTCCCCTTGTAAGAAAATTACTTACTAGCCATGACTCCCTTCACCAGCTGCATAAAATCGATTCACTGCTAAGATTTGCCGCTCGCCGGAAAACATAAAGGTTCTTGGAGAATACGACGCATGCTCAAAAGGAGCGAGGTGCTTCTAGGAAATGTAGTTCTATTGGAGGGCATTTGTCCCAGTTTTTAGCTCTCATATGTATTGGTCCACAACTCCCACAAGCCCTTGGCCTTAATAGTGTCTCTGGGAATGATGGGAGATGAAGTCCAGAGCATTTGGCGGATTTCAGATTCTCTATGCTGGATTTACTGTTTCCTCCTTCCTTCCGCCCTCTGGGCTCTTGTAGCAACAATACGTGACAAACATAAAGCACCAGTATTTCGGCATGGAAAACTGCGAAGAGGAATGATAAGCTTGTTGGATTTACAGAGGGAGAAAGCTGTCAAGAACAACGCTATAATCTACTTAATCAGACACGTCATATTTTAGCTGCAAAGATACGGACGGCTGGTAGAGGGAAGCCTCTTTGTCGCCATCTAGCAGGCACTTGGAACTTTGCATACTCTCCTTGTATATTCTGAATACCAGTTAAAATAAAAGCACTCATGAATGAGAAAATGGCAAATGCAGTCCAGTGCAAGGAGCTGCACGTCTCGCTGTCTGTAAAGATCAAAATTCACATATGTCAGTGGAACGTCAAGTGAGAGCAACTCAACTGGAAATAGATACTGGGATCATAGTGGGTGGCTCAATGAAAATGTTAACCCAGAATGTAACTATTAAAGCAAATTCCATGCTAAAATTTATTATTAGAAATGAAATTGCCCTTATATAACATGGAGTGAGATTGCTGTATACAGTTCTGATCACTGAATCTCAAAAAGGGTATCTTTTTGCACTTTTACAAAAGGTAGAAGAAACTAACCAAAATCAAAGAAAAAAGGCAAGGAAGATGTATAGCCATCAAGGGTTTTTAATTTAGAGTCAAGATGGGTAAAGGGAAGCCATCATAAAATTATGTAAATGTGCATGGTGTCAAAAAGTGTGGAGAGGGATTTTTTTGCTTTTTTTTTTTGGTCTTTCTCACAATCCAAGAATGATAAAAGTACTTTTTTACACAGTGTAGTGTTGATATTATAGAATTTGATGCTACCAATGGGATCATCAAAGGGAGCTTCAACAAATTTATGGAGGATCAATATCTTCTAGCCTTATTTATTATGTCCTGAATCAGAAGCAGCATATCTTAATAGTTGCTAGGCACCCACAGAGAGAGCACCACAGTTCTCTTATCCATGCTTCTGAGCTTCTTGAATTTACCTAATTAATGTAACATAGAATTTTAAAAGCAGAGGTCCTATTAGACTTCCAATGTATTATCAGGGGTGTTGCCCCCAAACCTTGGATAGTCCCCTGAACCCCTCCAAAATCTGCAGCTGTGTTTTTAAGAGGACAGTTATTAAATACAAGTATAATAATATTGAACCCCCAAAGTAGCAGCACCCTAGCTCAACAAGGTTGTCCCCAATTAGAACTCAGACAGCGGCCCATGTGGATATTCTAGGGCTGTAGCCTAGACTGAGAAGTCAACAATGGCAAGCCACTTGTCAAGAGGGCGCGTTAATTAAACATATTTAGCAGATTTAATTTTCATTTATTTCAATGTCAAGTTATGTTATTGTAGGTCTTTATCCTACTTTATAGAGTGGGTGCCTGGCATGTACATTCCTGCCTTACCTGGAACCTTCCAAGTGTGTTGGATGAGAACTGACCATGTTGCCTGGGAGGTGATCTTACCAGGTTGAGAATGGCCAAGCTGAGGAATTAGACCTGTAAAAATGCATTGTCTTTTTTTTTTTCAAATTCTAGAAGTGAGATTGGAACCGTTTACTTTCTGTTCAGTTGACAACCTTATTTCATGAAGTGCGGTCTTATTGTCAGAATCCTCACAAGATTTTATAATAGATTATTAGATGGCTAGTTTAAAGAAAAAAAATGGTTTTTTACATGCTGCGGTTCTGCCATT